ATTGACTATTGTAACTCTCTCCTAATTGGTCTTCCCACAAGTCGTATTGCCCCTCTACAGTCTATAATGAATGCTGCCGCCAGACTGATTTTCCTCTCTAGTCGGTCCTCTCACACATCTCCCCTCTGTCAGTCCTCACATATGCTTCATGTATCCTATAGGAGTCAATACGAAGTACTAACCCGTACCTATAAAGCACTGAACAATTCTAGTTCCTCCTATATCTCTTCACAGATCCATAGGTATGCCCCTTCTCGGTCTCTCCGGTCTGCCTGTAACCTTCTCCTGTCCGCTGCTCATACCCGTAGGCCAACTCACACTTGCAGGACTTCTCGTGGGCGGCTCCTTTTCTTTGGAATAGCCTGCCTACCACTATCAGACTCCCCTAGTCTTCAATCGTTTAAGATGTCCCTCAAATCCAACTCTTCAGGAAAGCTTACGGCCTCCCAGAGTAACCTCTACCTTACGTACCCATCCTTTGCTCTCTCCTAAGGGTAGCACTCTACTCTCTCCTCCAGCTCTGCTTCACTCCCACCTTATTTGACTGCTATCTCCTGTCCTATTGTGTTTATTACTGCACCTCCTCTAGACTGTAAGCTCACTTGAGAATTGTCCTCTTTAACTTGTTGCTCCTGTAACATTTTGTAAGGGTCTCATTTATTGTTAACTCTCCCCCTCTAATGATATTGTAAAGCGCTATGGAATATGTTGGCACTATGTAAATAATAATAATAATAATAATAATAATTAATAACAACAACACGTTTATTGCCAAAAGACAACAGGTTCCATAGATTCTTGACACTATTCAAACCACAGTAGCTTCCACAAACCAAATGGTGAAAGAGAGAGCTCAAAATAGATTAAATCATGCAACTTTCCCAATGTGGCCCAAATGTGGAATTGTTGGTGGATCCAAGTCTTTAAATAGATCATTCCAGAGGGTCATTACTCCACTTGCTCGTAGTATAACAATACATTAAAATATCGTTTGCTCAAATAACATATAGAAATAATGACAGGTCACTGTTTCATGTAGTACCTGGGGAGAATCTTAATTACACCATATCTGAGGCTTTAGAATATGCTTTTTTTTATGGCTTTGTGAGCGTTAAATTAATTTGCTGTCTGACATGACACTTTCTCACAAGCCTAATGCTGTTTTAATCCCTTGTATGCGGCAGATTGTCAGAAAGTGGGTCAAGCAATTCTTTCTGTACAATGACATTCTTCTTTTGTATCTGAAAGGTTTGCATTTCTTGTGTCTGTTGTAAAGTGTCTTGAGAATTACCTTGTGATCTCATTGCTGTATAGGGTCATAAAAGACAAAATGAGCAATGGCCAATTTAGTCTTTCTTTTTATTTAACTTGCCACTTGTTTAACACCACATATGACATCATTATAAACATACACTGATCAGCCACTACATAAAAAACACCTGCCTAATATTGTGTAGGCCCCCCTCATGCTGCCAAACCTGCTCTGATGTGTTGAGGCGTGGACTACACAAGACTTCTGAAAATCTCCTGTGGTATATAGCACCATGACATTAGCAGCAGATCCTTTAAGTCCTGCAAGTTGCAAGGTGGTGCCTCCATGGACATCCCACAGATGCTCAATTGGATTAAGATCTGGGGAATATGGGGGCCAAGGCAACACCTAGAACTCTTTGTCATGTCCCTGAAACCCATCTGGCCACTGACATCAGGGAACACTATTGCCATGAAGGGATGTAAATGGTCGGCCACAATCTCTAGATAGGTGGTTCATGTTAAAGTAACATCCACATGAATGCCAGCAGAACATTGCCTAAACCATAACACTGCCAGCCTCCCTTTTCCTCACAGTGCATACTGCTGCCATCCGTTTCCAGGTAAATGAAGCACATGCACCCAGCCATCCACCTGATCTAAAAGATCATCAGACCAGGCAACCTTCTTCCAGTGCTTCATGTTTCAGTTCTAATGCTCACATCCCCATTGAAGGTGCTTTCGGCGGTGGACAGGGTTTCATCATGGACACTCTGAGACTACACAGCCCCATACACAACCTGTGATGCACGGTGTGTTCCAACACATTCCTATCATGACCAGCATTGAGTTTTTTGAGGAATTTGAGCTACAGTAGTTCTTCTGTGTGACTGGACAAGATGAGCTAGCCTTCTCTCCCCTCTTTCATCAATGAGATTTCGGTTCTAATGACCCTTGCACCACTTTTGGTAGGAATTAACCACTGCATACCAACACTCCACAGGGCTTTCCAGTTTGGAGATGCTCAGATCCAGTCATCTAGCCATCACTGTTTGGTTCTTGTCAAAGTCACTTAGACTGTTCACTTGCTGCCTGATACACTCCACCCCTTGACAGGAGCCATTGTAACAATATAATCAACGTTATTCACTTCACTCGTCAGTGGTTTTAATGTTGTGGCTGATCATTATATAATATATATAAAGAGATGGAGACATAGCTCAGTGGAATCAGATGGAACATTCAGTTCACAGCTTATCACAATGTTGGCTTCTTTAGGTGCTCCCTTTCTTTACATCACATTTTGGGGATTCTGGTCGCTCTAAAATACATTTGTTAAGGGGGAGTCATAATGAGGATATTTAGAGTAATGTACACAGTTAAAAAACAACAGTTAATTACAAGCAAACATGGCGCTACAA